CCCCACACCCCTCCTGCACCCCCTGGGGGCAGGGAGGGGGCAGAGTTGGGGTGGGGATTTCAGAAGGGGTTGGAATGGGGGCGGGGAAGGGGTGGGGCTTCATGGAAGGGGTGGAGTGGGGGCGGGGCCGAGGGCGGCGGGGGGGAGGTGTCAGTAATGCGACCCCCGGGTCAATGAACTAGTCCTCATGTGGCCCTCATGGTCATTTGAGTTTGAGACCCCTGCTCTAGAGACTGGGTGGGGCTTGCACACTCTGGGAGCCAAAGAGCTCCTGTTCAAACACCAGGGGTTTCTATTCACAAACTTCTCCTCTGAATGCCTGCACACATCCCTTCCACTTCAGGTGTCTGCGCGCCCGGAAACCGACACTGGAGACCTTTGTCCTCTACGGGACCTGCTGGGGCATGCGCCCTTCGCACGCTTGTTCTGCCAGCCAAGGGTAGAAAGGGGCCAGGCTGCCCTGACCCCTCGGTTCCTTCTCACCGCCTGTGGTGTGTAGTCAACACATATGTGATCTTCTCACATTCTTTCCCATTGTCCCTTTAGAAAACGGTCTGAGAGATCTGTAAGGTGAGGGGTAGTTTAGCTGGCGGTGTAGCTGTAGTTTAGATAGTAATACTCGTTTCCTAAAGAATCCTTGTTTTAGCTTCCTTTCCTTTGAGTTTTTGGCTCTGTACTGGGGCATGCCAGTATCTCGTGGATTGAAGCGCTGTTCTGGCGCTAGCAAATCTGGCCAGTCAGCGAGCCTCACTCCCAATGCTTAAAATGTTTGGGAGAAGGACACGTGAGGCATCAGTGCCCTATCTCTGGGGGGGTAAGACCAAGCAGGGCTGCCCAGAGGATTCAGGGGGCCTGGGGCAAAGTGGGGGAGCTGCGGCGCTTGTACTCACCCGGCGGCGGTCTGGGTCTTCAGCGGTATTTTGGTGGTGGGGGGCCCTTCAGTCGCTCCGCGTCTTCGGCAGCACTGAAGGGCCCCCTGCCGCCGAAATGCCGTGGAAGACCTGGACGGCTGCCAGGCCAGGGCTCACAGGGCCTGGGGCAAATTGCCCCACTTGCTCTCCCCCCCCCATCCCCCCCCGAGCGGCCCTGAGACCAAGACTACAGTTGAGGAAGTTTGACATTGAGACACCCTGATGGAAGCAGCTTTGCACCTGCATTGGGAACCCCACCGCATGATATGCAGGAATTTGGACTCGACTCAGAGCGAGCTGCCAGACTTGGGGCTGTCCTGGCGTTGAAGGGAGCCAAGGACACCATTTTTCTTCTTCAGTACAGCATAAAAACAGACGCCATCCAGCACTTTTGGCCTCTTCTAGCCAGAAGGAGCCTCTTCTTCGAGGGTTAGGTCCCCTACAGACTTTCACCAGAAGGCTGGTACCAAGGCTAGAGCTAAATCCGCTCCTGCTAAGGTGCTCCCTGGTAGCACATTCTAGCCGTAGAGAGTCGTTGATTGTGGCACCTTATGCCAACTCCGTTACTGGGACCTTCAGTGGCATCAACTTCCTCTGCGATGCACCCTGGTATATCGGTGCCAACGATCTCTGAGGTTTATGCAGCGGCCAGGGACCTTTTGTGCCTGTCCGTGCCGGACTCCACTGATGCAGGCCAAAGTCCAGGTACCAACTGTTCCTGCCATGCAAGCCCTGGTTGGGATCTTCGGCACCTACGCATTCAGCGCCGTCTGGAACTGAGCCTTTGTCTACACCATCAGGGTCTGGAAGCTCTGTTGTGCAGCAGACTAAACCTATGGTCCCTTCAGCAGGAAAGGGTCAGATGCTTTCTCTGGCACCGTCCACTGCTTGTTGGTCCAGGTGTTGGTCTCCAGCTACTCCATCTGGTGCTGTGCTGCCTTGGCATTCGAATGCTGACTCTTCCTCAGAGTCTTATATATTGAGATCTCATTAGAGGTCTTGAGCGTCTCCTCGTTCCTCTTCATGCAGGTCAAGGCCCAAGTATTGTGGCTCTGACAGAAGCAAGTGCAGAGGTAGGATGCCGTGAGGTTCGTCCTTGGTACCATGTCATGTACAGCTGTGGCCTTTCTGGAATCCATGGGGAGTTCCTCCAGACTCAAGGTCATCTTCTCCTAGACGCGGCTCTACTAGGTCCCCAGGAAGGTGCTGTGCTCCATCTGGTACTGGTCTCGGTACTGACACCCAGTAACCAGCAACTGAGGGATCTTATCCCTCTGGGTTCTGACCCACCTGCTATGGCTGTTCAGCAAACAGTGGCGCAGACCGACACTTTAGTGCCTCTGCTCAACCCTTCCCCATCATCACCACATGACCCTACTGTTCTGGAACAGTCTTTCCCAGGTCTGGTACATTTTATAATCGCCTGGGAATTTCTGGAAAGGATAGCCACCTCCCGGGTAGTCAGAGTGAATTGGTGCAGGATAATCCACACAGATTGGTGGATATTCAGCCTATTAGAGCCCACCAAAATTCTTTGGCAAACTCCCTCTTCTCTGACACCCACTGCCAAGAGAACAAAGGAGAGGCCCCAAGTTCCATCTCAGGGGCATGAGTGTTTTTATTCACATCCAGACCTTTGGTAGTGGCAGCTGTGAATGAGAAACCAAGGCCAGGACAAAAATGCAAAAGAAGCTGGACTTATTTGGGAGAATGGTTTATTTGTCTTCAGGACTGCAAACCATCCGACAGGCCCTCTTAGCCCATTAGGATTATTCCAGCTGGGACTCAGTGTTCCAATTTACAGACAAGCTGCCAGATGATGCTAAAGAGGAGTCCAGAGTGCTACTAAATGAAAGCCACCTGGTGTCAAGCCCATCTTTACAGGCTGCATTGGACAAGACAGACTTGGCAGCAAAAGTGTTGACAACAGGAATCACTGTGCATTAGGTTTTTTGGCTGCAGTTATCGAGCATACCAACAGAAGTCCAGCAAACAATTGAGGACTTGCCATTTGAGGGCCTGAACCTGTTCTCGGGGGGAAAACAGATGAAAATTTGCACTCTTAGAGATTCTGGGGCAACCCTAAAATCTTTGGGCATTTATACTCCAGGCCATAAGAGAAAGTTCCGCCCACAGATCTCAGAAGCAAGCTCAGAATCATTAGCAATTCTAATGGAGGACAGGTGAGGTCCCAGAGGCCTGGAGAAGGGCAAACATAGTAGTTACCTTTTAAAAAGGGAAAAAGAGGACCCAGGGAATTATAAATCAGTCAACCTAACTTTGATACCTGGAAAAGTACTGGAACAAATTATTAAACAATCAATTTGTAAGCACCTTGAGGACAATAGGATTATAAAAAATAGGTAACGTGGGTTTGTCAAGACCAAATCCTGCGAAACCAACCTCATTTCCTCCTTTGGCAGCGTTCCTGGTCTAGTGGATACGAGGGAAGCAGTAGACGTGGTATTTCTTGATATATATATATATATATTTTTTTTAATAAGGCTTTTGGTACAGTCCCACGTGACATTCTCATAAGCAAACTGGGGAAATGTGGTCTAAATGAAATGACTATACAGTGGATTGACAGAGCATACTCAGAGTGGTTATCCAGGGTTCACTCCTGGGAGGGCATATCTAGTGGGGGCCCACAGGGGTCATTCATGGGTCTGGTACTAGTCAATATTTTCACTAGTGACTTGGATAATTGAGTGGAGAGTATGCTTCTAAAATGTGCGATGACACCAAACTGGGAGGTGTTGCAAGCACTTCGGAGGACAGGGTTAGAATTCAAAATGACCTTGACAAATCAGAGAATTGGTCTGAAATCAACAAGATGAAATTCAATAAAGACAAGTACAAAGTACTACGTTTAGGAAGGAAAAATCAAATGCACAACTACGTGGCTAGGTGGTAGCACTGCTGTAAAGGATCAGGGGTTACAGTGGAACACAAATTGAATGAGTCAACAATGTGATGCAGTTGCAAAAATGCTAATATTCTGGGGTGTATTCACAGGAGTCTCATGTAAGAAATGTGAGGTAAATAACTGCTCTACTCAGCACAGGTGAGGCCACAGTTGGGCTATTGTGTCCAGTTCTGGGCTCCACACGTTAGGAAAAATGTGGATAAATTGGAGAGAGACCAAAGGAGAGCAACAAAGGGGATAAAAGATTTAGAAAACCGGGCCTATGATGAATGGTTAAAAAAACTGGGCATGTTTAATCTTGAGAAATGAAGTCTGAGGGGGGACCTGATAAGTCTTTGAATATGTTAACAGTTGCTATAAAGAGGACAGTGATCACCTGTTCTCCAAGTCCTCTGAACGTAGGCCAAGGAATGAGCTTCATCTGCAGCAAGGGAGATTTAGGTTGGGTATTAGGAAAAAATGGTCTATAAGGGTAATTAAGCTCTGGAATAAACTTCCAAGGCTTTACCAGAATCTGGGAATGGGCGACAGGGGATGGATCACTTGATTCCCTGGTCTGTTCATTCCCTCTGGGGCACCTGGCCCCTGTTGGAAGACAGGAGACTGGGCCATTCATATGTTCTTAAGGCAGGTTGTGGAATCCCCCTCTTTGGAGGTTTTTAAGAACAGGTTGGACAAACACCTGCTAGGCATGGTCTAGGTACATTTGGTCCTGCCTCAGTACAGGGGGCTGGACTTGGTCTCTTGAAGACCCTTCCAGCCCTACTAAAATTTGTTGTAGCAGATTTTCATTCTTGGTTTATGGTCCTCCCCCCTTTCACTTGCCATCAGCCCCTCGAGTCTTCACAAAGTGCATGACCATGGTGGCACCCATATCTGGATGACTGGCTGGTTTGAGGTCGGTTTCAGGCAATATTGGATCTATGCACGAACTTCAGGGCATTTCCTCGTCCAACAGTCTCCTGTGCTGACGGGATGAAAGGACAACCTGTCACTTCAGGGGATGTCTTCCTGGGTCTCCTCTTGCATTCATCTGTGCTATGATAGTGCTAAAGTTTTTCTACCTCAAAGACTTTTAGCACACTTTACAAGAGCTCATGCTGCATCAGCTGCTTCCTTGGGTCACCTACCCATCAATGACTATTGCAGGGCTGCATCTGGGTCATACGTTCACTCCTCATTACGCTGTCCCCCAGGCCTGACGAGAGGATGCTAGATTTGGGAGGGTGGGGTTGGACTCCTTGATGGGTAGACTCCAGTACCGTCCTGCATCTGGAATTACTTATGCCGTGTGCAGACACTGAGATAAAAATAGTTACATACCTGTTCAGTACTGTTGTGCTTCACGATACACTGCACATGTATTGTGCTGCTCAAATCCTGCATTTGGGCTGGGGGGTAGAGGAGATCACCCTTGCGGTCCCTTCTAACCCTGTGATTCTACGTCCGTTCCACAACCCACCCTCCTTCCACCCTGCATCAGAGTGGCAGCAAACTCTGGCTTCTAGTGTGATTCTGCCCCTTTATGCCCTTGGCTAGCAGCACAAGTGTGTGGAGGGTGCATGCACCGCCCTGACGGGTACCGCTATGTGGGAAAGTTCTCCGGCTTTGGTGGACGTGCACCTGAAGTGGAATGGATATGTGCAAAGCATCTTGAAGAAGAACGGTTACCAAACAGGAATGCAACTGTTTTCTTTCGAGATCCTGCAGACTTTGCCCAGTAAGCTCCACAGATGGACTCGTTCCTAAAAAGTCTGGAGGGGCTCAGGCACGCTGGTTGTGAGTTCAGTAGGAAGACTCAGATATGCCGTAGATCTGCCAAGTGCCATGCTCACTGCTTTGGAGCTGGCAGTGTCTGCAGGCGATGCCTCTGGCGCTTATTCAGCACGGGCAGTGAGCTCAGTGCTGTCTCCTGGACGCCCCCTGAGTTTTGCTTGGGGACCTTGCAGGGACCTGTGTGTGCCTGTGATGCTGTCGTGTGTGTGTGTGTGTGTGTGGAGCTGATACGGTCTGTTGCACCTGTAACTGCTCCCAGATTCCAGGAACTTGCCAGCTCACTGAACTCTGGCAAAGCCTGTCAGTTGTGCGAGCCTCGTGGCTCTTACAGGCACCTCACGCCAGGGCAGTGACTCTCCCTGTGAGGAAGACTGTCCAAATTTGAGAAACCAGCCACCCAAGAGTGCCCCGGGCACTGTTCTGTAAGTGTTTCTGTAGCACATTCAGTCACCGGGAGCTTGAACGCTGCCCTACAAGAGGCTCTCTCCAGGTGGTCCTGCTTCCCTCAGGGCAGCGGGCCTGAGAGAGTGAGTTGAGCCCTCCTAGCTAGGAGCTTGGTTCAGCTTGCCCCAAGAGACACACCCTGCCATCCGCTGGCTCGTCCCTTCCTGGAAGGCGAAAGGTCTGCTGCGTAAGGGTTTAAAATGGCCACGGCCGTGTCTTGTGGTGAGTGATAATCTTGCTGTCCTCTCTCTGTTCCAGGCGGTGCATTCAGATCGTGCACAAGCTGCTGTGCTACCAGAAGAAATGCAGAGTGAGGCTTCATTATACCTGGCGGGAGCTCTGGTCAGGTACCCGGGACCCTTTGCGTTCACCTCTTTGTGCATGCTGCAGGAGCTGGGCCCCCTCGCTCCGAGCGCTCTTTCCTTGGGAACTTTTCAAACCCCAGCTTGTGTCAAAACTGCTCTGTTTCCTTTTAAAAATCACTGCCTGGTAATTAGATCCCCTTCAAAAATCCTCCTCCTCCTCCTCCTCCTTCTCTGTATCTGTCTTGGATTCTTCTTGGAGCCTTAGAATAGTAGCTAATCTGCCTTCTTGTCTGGCCCGGATTGCCATGGTATCCAAGTGCCTCATGGTTTTTATATGTCATGTCAGTCCTTGGAGCCCCACTTACCTGCTGGGAGCAGCATTCCTCAACAGAGGCTGTTTCTCCCTCCGACGGCGGGGAGTAGCGGGGGGCTGCGGTGCGGGAGAAGCTGGGTTTGTCGCAGCAGGTGGGCTATGGAGCGGCTTGTGTGAGGCGCTGCGCAATCACTTGCCCACAAATATCCATGGGAAGGAGGAGATGCATCTAAACTCTGGCCCTTGTGTTGTCCGCTGCGGGGGCACTTTGTGCCACGCCCCCCACCGCGCAAGAAAAGGCCTTTTAGAGGGCTGCTTTTGTGTTCCAGTAAAGGGAGTCAGTTCACATGAACGTGGGCACAGCACTGTATGCTTTTATTGGGGGGTGCAAGCTTCTCTTCCAGTCCTACACGCAGCTGAGCTAGGAAGGTGCAATTACTCCCCTCGCCTTTGTGGGTGAAAAAGGAGGTTTCTGCACATTGAAGGAGACCTGATCCCCTGTGTCCTGCTCTGGGAGTTGTGGTTCAGGTCTGGGATTGGTGGCTTGGCTGGATTCATGCAGCTCTCGCCAGGAACTCGGCTAGAGGATGGCTGTTGAAAAGATGTGCTGAGGGGTTTCTGAAGTGGTTCTCAATTCGCAGTCAAGTACTTTCCTTCGGTCGCTGTGCCCAGCTGGGTGCAGGGACATGGAAATGCACTAACAATCAGACTCCTTTTCAGTGATTTCATTTGGCCTTTTGTGACGTGACCCAGCCTGCCTTTCTCGGTTTATTCCTGTAGGGGGCGAAGTGGGTGCCCTTAATTAATTAGTGAGTTCTTTCCAGTTGCTTTCTTCAGAACCGAGCCCCCAGAGGACTGGTTGTGTGGCAGTGAAATCAATGCCAGTAGAAACGGTACCAGGCAGTGACTGTGCTGTAATTGCAGGATGGAACGCGCACCTCCCTGTTAGCTCAGTTCTGCCTGGCCATGGCAGGCTGTTCCCTACAGTACGTTGATCAGGGCTTTATCACGCCTGCTTCTGCAAGTGCCGAGCGATAACCTTCGCACCACGTCCCTTAAGAGACTAGTCCATAGTTTAATGATCTCACTGTGAGGAATCATCATAAACCTAAACTTTCCTTTCTAAAAATTTCATCCCCTTCCCACTTCACTCTGAGACTCAGGGCATGTCTTCACTACAAAGTTGAGGTGACTTAAGTTACGCTAATGTACAGCCACCGCAGTAATTAAATCAGTTGTGTGTGTCCACACTAGTGTCTTCTGTCGGCGGTGCATGTCCTCGCCAGGAGCTCTTGCACCGACTGTCAGCGTGGGGCGCAGACAGCCGCAGCCCTGCCAGGCAGAACAGTCAGCGCTGTGTCTACATGACGCTGCGTCGACCTAAGTACACTGACCTACGCGCCACGCCTGGCGCGGGGGCAGAGTTAAGTCGGTGTAGTGGGTGACTTACGTTGGTGGGAGCAACGTTGTGGCGTAGACCGCAACCTAACTGGGGGGTAGACCAGGCCTCCATATCCAGGGCCAGTTTTGTTAGTGCCCACTAATGAGGTGCTGTTGATACAAGGCTCAGGAAAGTGAAGTGCTGCTTGTGCTCTGAAAGGAAAGCCGGGCAGAGTAAAACGCTCGGGATTGGTCGAGTGTGGGTGTGCTGACGTACCCTGCACACTTGAAGAGCTCAGTGTTTGGGTGAGATTCTGGATGCTCAGTGAGCTCCTCTCAGGAAGAAACGTATTGCCGTGAGGATTGCGCTGTCGTTTTTCCTGCAGGGGAATGCCACTCGTCAGCAGCTGCTTCGCTAATTCACACAAGCCCGGGGAGACTGGAATTAAGACACCGCACCTGTAACAGGTGTGAGTTTCCTGAACGATGTCTAGGGCAGGCTGATTTCCGAAAGGCTCGCTCTCCCTGGGGACCCATTGGGTGGTTCAAGTGATATTGCTTCACCAGGGAGCTGTTTGATTTCCCATGATGCTCCTGCCCCGGCACGAGTGGACGGGGATGTTTTGTCCTCGGTCTGTTGGCCAGCTGATGCCCTATCAGGATACAGAAATCTCTGTACCCTGCTCTGCCCTTTCTGAGCCCCCAGCTGGCATGCTCCCTATCTGCTTCCTGTGCCAAACCACAGAAACGGTTCCTCTCGCTGTAGTGCCATCAGGGCTCTGCAGAGGGGAGCTCCAGGTCTGCAAACCTTCAGAACTGTGGCGCTCCAGAGCGACTTCGGCCTGAAGCTCCAGAGATGCCTAACCGAGAGCCCTAGAGGCCTGCCTCAGTCCCTTCCTAATGCAGGAGCTGCGCAGACTGAGGCCAGGGCTCTGTGGTCAGCCCTGTGGCGTAGCGATAGTGAGACCCGGGCAGAGATACGGGCTGGCAGACAAATGGGAAGACTTGTGAGGAGTGACTGGCGGGCGGGGAGGGAGTTGTGCATGGCATATCGGAGGAGGAAGGCTGCTCCAGGCATAGAACTGAGTGGGAGAAGGAGACAAAGCGTTGTGCGGAGAGGAGGCAGCAGAGTGTAGGGTGTAGAGGAATTGAGATGAGAATTGTAGGCGACGACGGCAGAGTTGTGCAGAGCCATCTCTTCCCTTCCGGAGTCTCGTGTTGGCGGGTGAGACAGCGAGTGTCCCCTGCAATGGCGAGAAGCTCTTCCTCTGGGCACGGGAGGCCAGCAGCTGCGGCGCCTCTGAAAACTGCTGCAGTCTCCTGCTGGGACTTGAGCTCCGGGCGAGAGCTTCAGTGAGACGCGGAGGAGTCAGGTCGCCGTGAAAGGAAACACAGCCACAAATACAACCCACCCTGTTGTGCTGATGCTGCTGTCAATCCGCGTGTGGACGTCCTGTTGGACACCCTGCTCCTGGGTACATATTGGTGCTTACATACTGTCACACAGGGGGCTTTCCCTTTTCATGCTCATGAGAGTTTGCAGGAGAACGGTCTCTGGTCCAGCCCTTAGCTGCCTATCGGATTTATTCTTTTACCCCCGCCCGTTGTATTTCGAAATAAATCCATAGCACAGGGGGTGCTCCGTAGGTATTAATACATCATGGCCGGGAGCATGGTATCCGTCCCCACCTAGGTGGGCTCAGATGCCCACACCGATTGGCTGGCTGGTGAAGAATGAGGGAAGGGTCCAAGTGTCTTACCATGAGCAGCGTGGGTGTGAAGCTGTCTGGGGAGCTGACCCCTTTGACGTTTTCTTGCCTTTAAAAATATTTCTAGTTGCATTTTGTAATGATCAGCCAAGTCCTGAACGGAGCGGCTCCTTCTGTGTCCACCAGAATCCTCTGCTCAGAGTATCCAGCTTATATCCAAGACCGCGAACAAAAGAAACAGGATAGCATAGGTGTCATGGTGACAGGGGAGCTGCGCGTCCCTCCCGAGTGCAACCGTCTTCACCCTCCTCCAACCACGTGGTCCCGGCACTCTCCAGCTGGCTCTCTGGGCTTGCAGCCCCGTTTCCCAGCTGTGCTAACACGACAGGCCCACCGCCCTTTACCTGTGGCACCCGGACTCGAGCAGCTGATTAAAGTGACTCAGAAACCGCTTCTTTGAAGCATCAAAGTATTTATTCACCCAAAGGCCCACAGCCAGCAGAGCAAAGAGATAAAACAGGGAAAGGCCTGTATGCCTGGGTCCTGCCAAAACGGTATCCTTTCCCTTGGGTCAGTTCCATTCCGCCTAGACCCCTCCTCCTGGCCTGGGAGAGACAGACAGCCCCGGTCGTGTTCTCCCAGCGTCCCTGCCACAGCCTCACTCCAGCCACTGCTGCCCCCTCCCCCCTCCTCCCTAGGCTGGGGTCTTTCGTGGTTTGGTGCCCCTTGGATCCTAGGCCTCGGAAAACCGAACCCGCTAACCTGGTTGGTTTCCCAATTAACAGCTCCCCCCTTGTTCCCCGAAGGACCCTGGGTCTTCCCTCTGGAGGTACCTTAGCTCTGTCATTGTTTCGTTTCCTGTTTTTCTCCCCAGCAGCCTCCCCTGATTTAGCTCCATGCAGTCAGCAAGGATAATATCAAACAAGGTGAGGTGCAGGTGATACTCATAAATACAGATCGCTCCCTTGTTCTCCACAATCGGTTTTGAACCCTGCTTTCTCGTTTGAGCACAGAGGTCTCTCTTGAAGCAGCATACAGCTTTCTGATTTCGGTCTTTCCCACTGTTGGCTGTGTGCATAATGATCTGTTGTAATACATAATGACCACCTACCCTCGTGGGCTTAAGCCGTAGAGCTGTGCATTGCTGTTGCACGTTGCGTGGGGGAGTCAGTGGTTTGTGTTGCTTTGTCAGGAATTTAAGTGAAACCGTTGTTGTGGAGCTTCTGTTGCCACAGCCAGTTAATCACCAGCTTTGCCCAAAAAAGGAAAGGCCAAGCCGCTGAGTGTGGTAATCGCCTCATTGCCATGTTTGCTGTTCTATTGCTTTTGCTTTTGCTCAGAAGAATTGGTGTGTCACCTCCTGAGACCCTGGACGCTGCCCCCTTGTGTTTATCATTCCAATACAATTTGTAATTACATGATCAACATAAACAAACTAGGGCAATGCAACCTAGATGGAGCTACTATAAGGTGGGTGCAAAACCATTCCCAGAGAG